GCCTAGCTTCTAGAGTTAACTAGTATGTATGCTTTGCTACTTTGATCTCCAGTGGCTTTAATAAACCATAAACCACAGTTTTCCTTTTGACGGAGAAAGTGAAACTAAAGGCAACCAACAATATGGTGTGAACAAAGAAAACAGGGACAGCAGGTCGCAATATGTTCCTGGGGTCGTGCCCAGAATTATGCAGTAAACTATCCATTGGCCTTGCCGTATTGGGTCAGATTCTCCAGGGCCTTGCCACAAGGAGAATTTGTTCATGCTATCCTCAGGCCTTGTCCCCCCCCCCAAGAAGTCACGTGGCTCCTGGCATTCCTAGAAGTGTTAGGTGCATACATAGTAGACAGCCACTAAATAGTTACCAAATAAATGTAGTTACCAAATAAATGACCAGTTTCCCAATCTTCAAAATCTACCTACTCTGCCTATTCTTTTATGCCATTCCTTAGCCCCCAGTTACAATTTTCCCTTTAATAGCTGGAGCATTTTTCTTTACTGTCACAAGGTGGCAGCATAAGTCTCCTTTTGAGTGAGCCCAGGGCTGGTTTTGCCTTGTTTGGAGCAGCACCTTCATTTCCAGTTTTCTCAAACCAGCCCGCACCCTGGGCTTTTTATTTTGCCCCATCCTTATTAAGTGCACGAAGTAACGTAACATTCGCTTTTGCAGCTCTACCATTGAGCTAAAGAAAAGAGTACCGCTTGTAGAGAGAGATTCCAAGGGCTGCCTCCTGAGCAACCCTGCTTGGTATTCCTACAGCTCTCTATCTGTTACAACCCACTAGACAAATGATGAACACAAATCTCTTGTCTCAGAGACATGATGTCAAACGACATTGTGATCTTACCAACCTGTAAGAAACAACAAACCAATTAAAGCCTGGTCTCATAACAAAAACAAAGCAAGGCCAGTTCTGCAAGAGAGCCTGCAATGCCTTCTGGGGAACCACTGGTAGGAAATGGAAACCTCTGAGCTTCTTCCAGAACAAGGGCTTGTGGGATGAACACAGAATTCACTTAGAAATGAACACATTTGGCTTCTAGAGGGGGTTTCAGGAATCTCCTCACCTCCAACCTAAGCCAAGCTCTCATCTTTCCAGGATTCTGTTTCTGCCTTTGTGAAGCAAAAGATAGCAATATGTCTCCTGCCTTGGGGGAAGGGCGGTGATTGTTTTGTAAATTGCACAGCATGGCAGAATCACTTTCACTTTATCTGTAAGAAAACTGGTTCCATCCAGCTGAATAGGCTTGCCTAGATTTTTCTCATCAGTAAAATGTGACTAATGAACACTAAAGTTGTGTGTGTTGCAGAAATAGTATTCATTTAATGCATTATTTATTTTAATTTTTGCAGTGCTGGGGACCAAATTCAAGGCTTCTTAACATCCACCTGCCCATTGTGTACCAGTTGATTTCAGCTGTTCTTTCATTTTTAAAACTTTTTGAGTCATCCATAGAAGAACATGCCAGCCTCATTTAAAAGTGAAGGAGAGTGAAAATCAGGCTGGTTCCTCAGTTAGTCTCAGGCCAAACAGCAGAGCCCAGATCTTCTGACCTACACCCTGCTCCATTCTGCTTTGACTAAGGGAGGGTAAGTGTGGAGTTACTCAAGCTATCAAATTCACAGCAGCAAGCCAGCCAGCTTTGATTAGATGTACCAGAGATGGAGTCTTCCAGCTTTGAGGAACCTGGATAGACGGCCACTTAAAACACGAGGCTCAGACTTTTTGTGTCCACAAGTTCATGTAAAGGGACTCTGCTACTTCTCCCTCAAACATTTTCAGAGCCAATTCATAGCTGTTTTTCAAAAAATAAAAATGATTAATTAGATGTCAAGGTTAAAATGATTCACTAGATTTTAGGGGTTAAAAGGGAGAGAGACAAACTTATGAGGTAAGGAGAGATCCTAGAAATGAAGGCTATTAACCTCCTTGGGAGGGAGGTTGTTTAAGCATGACATGCTGTTGTTGCCACATGTAGTAAGTTACTCTTAAGAAGGTATTTATCCCTGCTGATGCGATAGCTTTTACCCAGCCATGCTAGTGAACTGGCTGTCATTTTAATGTGTGAGTTTGGGTAAGCTATGTTTACCAGGAATTTTAATTACTTAATGACTTTGAAATGACACCACTGTAGACTATCATCAAGTTGGCTTCACTGCTTTTTATTTGCTGGTAAGATATCAGGTTTGAAGCTGGGAGAGGGAGGATGGGGGCGTATAGAATAAGAAAAAAAGTAAAGTCAAGAGGCCTTCACATGTATATATCCAGTTAGGCAGATTTGTATCTGATTACCTAAAGAATTAGATTGACACTATATTTTATGACTTTCTCAAGTCAATTTTAATGAATATTTTAAATATTCTGTTCCCTCGAGAGCCATCCAAATATAATCTTGTTTGCATAGAACTACACGCATCAATTAACACCACGCTCTTTAGTTAGGAAAAGTAATGGCCTACAAAGCCCTGTAAATGGAAATAGAAATCTTTTATTTAAACATTCATTTATCATCCTTTTTAAATCTGCTTTTGGGATAACAGATTTTTTATCTTTTTAAAATAAGTAATTGAGTTTAAGCCAGAGGACCTTAACATAAAATAGGTTCCTTGAACCAAAGCTAATGTGGGCAAAAGTTAACAATCTTAGTAATTTGTAAAAGCAGCAATGACAGCTTAGTGATCACCCCATTGGACAATGAAAGACTCATCCTCCAGGTGGGGAGTACAGGGTGGGATAACTGAACTTCACTGAGCTCGCTCTTGAGCAGTGGCTTTCAACATTGCCATCTTCAGCTATCCAAGACAGGCGTCGGAGAAGCAAATTAGGGCCCCCCATGAAATGTGAAATAAGATAGACTGGGAAATAGAGGCCCATATGATTTGGGGGCCCAAGCATTTGGGGGGGGTGGTAGTAAGAGGAGGCTGCCAGAAGTTAGCAAGAGCTGCCTTTCTTTTCAGATGGGAATTCCCAGGTTTGGTGACTGAATTTCAAGGAGGGCTCTGGCTGTGAAGATGGTTGGGCTGGCAGGGAAAAGACACTGGTACCCTGACTTCCTTTTAGAATGCTATTAACTATGACATTAGCTTCGCATTGTAGTTGCTGTTTTTTTAGATGCCAAGGGCTTTTACCTGCTGCTCTTTGAATGGAGACTGGCAGCTGCCATGTCTGCTCCCAAGCTTCCTTGGCACATCTTGCTTTTCAGAAGACACAAGTTTGCCTTTCCTTGCCAGTCTCATTATTAATCAGCTCCAATCTGAGCTTAATCCAGCATACCTCAAACCTTGAGCCCTAAAGAGACTCAGTGAGGATAACAATTTATACAAACGACTAGGTTTTGATAACTCAGACCAAATTACACTGAGGTGAGTATTACAAGAGTGACCTAAACAAAATGTTGATGGTGAAATTAACTTGGTGCAAGAATCAAACCAGGGCCCAGAGAGGAGGTGAAAGGTCAGGGTGCTCAGAAGAGAAACAGTTTGCTAGTTAGGAGAGGAAGGCCTAACAGTGTAGGCAGTGAAGGACAGCAGGGAGGCGCGGCTGAAAGGAATATTCAAGATGGTTGAACATGGGATATAGGGTTATGGAATGGTCCAGTAAGGTGGTCAGCAATGAATTGTACTATGTATCCAAAAGCTAGAACCCAGAGCTGAAGAGACAACTCAGTGATTAAGAGTAATCAGCGTTCTTGCAAAGGACCCAGGTTGGGTTCTCTGCACTCACAGTGGCTCACAATCACCTGTAGCTCCAGTTCTAGGAGATCCAACACCCCTGATGGCCTCCATGGGTGCTGTATGCACACGATGGACAGACATGCATGCAGGGAAAACACTAACACATATAGAATAAATACATCTTTTTAAAAAGCCAGAACCAATTGCACATGGTTGCCTTTAATCCCAGCTCTCAGGAGGAAGATGCAGTGAGCTCAAGGCCAGCCTGGTCTACATAGTGAGTTTCAGGATAGCCAAAGCTATCTAGAGAGACCCTACCCTGCCCCCCCCCAAGAAACAACAGTAACAAATACAAAAAACAAAGACTAGAACCATTTCCATCTCTGTATAAAGACCCTTGAAAGAACTAACTGTATATTTATACACTGTGTGTGTTGGAAGATGTAAGGGAGGGCCCTGTCTTGAAGGAAAACAAAACAAAACAACTCACATAAGAATAATCAACATTATGATAACATCCAAGGGAAACCATTAGATTCCTTGGAAGTCAAGGTCAAGAAATCTCTTGCTGCTCCGGATTTCCCCAGGATGGCACAGGTACACCTGAAGGCCAGCTGGACTAGCAAAAGGGTGGGTGGGCTTGGATTTGGTATCCATATTCAGGAATAGAAGTATCGGCTCCATTTTTTGAAGCTCCTCTGATGTACATGCACTATTCTAGACGCTTATGTGGATTAGTCAATTATAACCCCACCATGACTGCATGGGGAGAAACACCAGCGTCTGCGTTTACTCGTGGGGAAACAGAGACACAGAGACATAGCCAGGATTCTAGCAGGGATCTGGCTCCGGAGTCTTTTAACTGTATTATCAACTACCTAGACCTGAGTGTTAAGACCAACACAACAAACCCAGCTTTCCTTTAAAATTGTATTTTTAGGATAATCCCATTCAAGGCTGAAATTTGTAAATAAATTAAAAATGCATTTTGGTATTATACCCCTCTCTGCGCCCCCCCCCACTCCCACCCAATCCAAGGCCAGCAAGAAAATGTTTCTTTTTATTTATACGTATTTTCCTTTTGTGACACTTTGGAGTTTCTGAACGCTAGGGGCTCTCAGATTCTCTGGTTTGAGAGCAACTTTTTCTTTTAGGATTTTTTTTTTCCCTTGAAAGGGGGTGGGGGGAAATGTGGCCTTAATTATCCTACGTTTTAGGCAGCTTAAGGAAGGGGCTGTGCTTTCAGTATCTCGTCGGAGCCAAGTGAGGAGGTCCTTCTCCTCCCCCCCCCTCCTTCCCCTCCCTTTTTAAAGGAGCTCGTGAAATATAAGCTCAGAAAACAAACCGAGCGATCACAGCGGCAGCCCGGGCGGCAGCAGCAGCGGAGGAGGAGGAGCAGGAGGAGGAGGCAGAGTTGGAGTTGGGCTGACGCTGCCGAGAGCTGCAGGACGCGGCGGAGTTGCAGGACTCCGCGCCGCTCCATTCATTAAGTAGCTGCGGAGGACGGTGGCTGGACGCCGACGCTGCCCACTAGCAAACTTCAGCACGCAGACGCACTCCAGCCGTGCGCGTCTCGGGCAGCACAGCTCTGCAAAAGTTCCTGCTCGGGATTTGGCTCTCTTCCCCTTGGACTAGCGAACAGTTTCGGGTTGAGAGGAAAGCAGAGGCACCCAGAGGGGAAACCTATCCGCCTGCAGTTGGAACTACTCTGCTGAGCTGCACTCTCATCGCCGCGTCCCGAGCCCGCAGACCCTGAGCAGCGGCGGCCCGCAGCGTCCCGGGAGGCTCTCCGCTGCCAGCGCCATGCAAAACTACAAGTACGACAAGGCGATCGTCCCGGAAAGTAAGAACGGCGGCAGCCCGGCGCTCAACAACAACCCGAGGAAGGGTGGCAGCAAGCGGGTGTTGCTCATCTGCCTCGACCTTTTCTGTCTCTTCATGGGTGAGTGCAGCCCCACGGGTCACCCCCACCCCCTCCGGGCCCCGAATCCCGCCGTGCTGTCAGCCCCTGAGGCCCGGCAGCCATCCTCTGGGCGCCGTGCTAGCCGCGAGCTCCCCGCCTTCCCGGACCCCCAATCCCAGGCCTGCGAATACAAGTTGGGGCGTGCTTGTGCCTTCGCGGCAGCTGGAACCTTCTCCTTAGGGGTACTCTCAAGTTGGGAGCGGGGGGCATGGCCCCTCGGAAGGTGTGGGCTCGACCTCCACGATCTGGAGGTAGCCTGTGGCTCTCCTCCCTGCATCCGAGTCTGTGCGAGACCCATCTAGGTCTCTGGGCGAGCTGGGCTCCTACGGCAGTGGCGCTGCTGGTCCGGGCTGCATGTAAACATCCACCCCTTCCGTCGCGCTGCCTTGCAGGGCTAGTCGCACAAGCTGGCCTTGTCACTCGCTACTCGCTAGGCTGAAAGCCCCAGGAGGTAGAATTGGGCTCTTCCCAGCCAGGTCTTGGGCTCCGAGGAGCGCTTCACTTGGTGAGCGCCTACTGTGTGCCAGGTGGTAGGCAGCTTCTTCGCGGGCTTCAGTTTTAAATCAGCTCACTCCCTGATTCGTTTAGGCAGGGGCTAGGAGCCAGGTTCACTCGGGAGGCCACTGAAGGAAAGCCAGCCACGGTCTTGCTTGCAGGAGTACAGTTGAGCTGCACTCCCTCAAAGTTGAGGCGCTAGCGCGCGTCTGTTTTTGCAGAACAGATGTTAAGTTCCAGCTGGAAGGGGCGGTGGAAGTCAAAGGAAGGGGGGGGGGTACTGAACCAGGCTAGGGACAGAGAACCGCTATTGACTTGAATCCACCGAAGTTCCAAGGTTGAAGTAAAAATAGGACTTTTTCCTTTTAACTGAATTTCGATGTGAACCAGAGTGCAAAACTTGTCACCAGAGCCTTGCTCCTCTCTCCTCTAAACGGGTGTGCCACCTAAATGCCCCCCTTGGCCTCAGTTTCCTCCTTAGTTGAATGAGTGGGTTTAAGTAGATGGTCTGTGAGGCCCCTTCCTGCATTAAGAACTCGGATGCGGTCCAGGAGCTGTTCTGCCAACACTGCTAACTGAAGAAACATCTGTGTTCCCCGTCCAGTTCCACCAAAGAGAACTGCACGGAGGCTTCAGTTCCCTTGGAAGGGATTAGTTAGTTCGTGCAGATTGGGCTGCCCTGGGTTTGCTGCCTGCTGAGGACTCTTAGGCAGGCAGTGGCCTCCTATTCTTGCCCAATCCCCCCCTCCCCCAGAGAATTTCGTGAGCCGATGGGTTTCTCAGAATTTAAAATTAAGCACGCTCCCCTCTTCAGATAGAGACGGTTGGAAGTAAGATTGCAGTCTGTGAAAGGGAAGGAGTTTACTTGCAGTTCACAGTGTATCCCATTCCCTGTTCAGTTCACAGTGGTTCAACATTAGATGCTATGTAGAGAAGTTGTCACTGGGGGGCCTACGTCCTGGTGGCAGCAGGCTTATTATCATGCAGAGGGAAAGAGATGAGTACTTGAGGACTTAAAATCAACTTGTTGAATTTTGTAAGGCCCTGGGGTGGGGTGGGGGGGGGGTTACCAGAGAGAGCACTAAAAGGGTTGAAGCTGTGTGGCAAATTTATCCGAGGCCTCCCAGGGTTCGAGTGTGGCCTTGGTGGGTGGGATCAGCCCTTTCTCTGTGCAGGCAAGCCCCCTGTCTCCTGCTTTATCATTAGGAAAGCTGACACCTCCCCCCCCCCAGCCTTTGCACTTGTTGCTCTCTCCTCTAGACACTCCAGTGGGTGGGGGGAGGTGCTCTCAAAGTCGTTGCATTCTTATAAAGCAAGCAATGTTGAGCAACGTGCAGAGAGCAATACCTGTCAGCTATAGCGTAAGCGGGGACAATGACACCCCCCAAGATGTTTCCTGTGTGTTCAGGGTGGAATTAAGAGGTGTGGTACATTTGCTTGCATTTCAGCTCCTCGTTTGCAGCAAGTGTCTCTCCAGAGTGAAAATTTTAAACCAGTTGTCAAACTTAAGCATAGGCACAAACTATATTACAGTATTACTGGTTAAACACCCTCTAACACCTTTAATTGGGAAAACTATCTGTAAGATTAACATGTATCTTGAGGTGGTTATGCAACATAACTCTGTTTGGCTTCCAAAAGAAGATTTAATAATACAACATGTGATTTTAATATTCTACGCACTGCAATCCTTAAAAAAAAGTGTTTCTACTTGGTTCAGTTTTTGCCTAAGACTGTCAGTTTGATTTAATTTTTCTGCAGTTTATTGATCATATGGTCTGCATTACAGGGTACTAATATATTAGGAAGAGAGACAGTTTTCTGTTTATTCTCCCATAGGAATATAGACCAAGCTTCATCTCCTAGTATCTTGAAAAACTAAAAGCTGATGTGCTGTGTGCCTGTTATGTAAGTGGAAATATGCAAGTAGTTTAACTTGCTTCACATACCTTTTTGGTATGTTAAATTCTGGGTGAAAACTGAAAGGTTCACTCTTGTTTGAAGGCCAAAAGAATGTGACGTCAGAGAACCCCACTGGGAACTTACCGCCCATCAACAGTACCTTTGTCCATTGATTGCTTTTAAATGCAATTGCAAGTCTTTGCATGGTAGATTTTCTGAAACCCTTTTTGTTATTGTTTCAATTAAGTACCCCTTATCACTTTTTTCTCTTTCACATTAGTTCTGGTGTATGGAGTTCCGAGAGACCCACAGGGAAGATTTCCTGTTGTCCAAGTTCTGTTAGTCTTTTTTGAAAATAAAGGTCAATGACTATACTTTTCACTGTAAGCCATCTCCATATTATAAACCAGAAAAGGTTCCTCTCAAGGTAGCATGGGTAGATTCCCAAGGAAGTGGGCTTCAGTTCGTCCTCGATTCTCAGTTAGCACAAATGGAATCCTTTATCCCAATCGGAGATCCCTGAAATTCAGACCTCATTTAAAGTCTTCTAGTTCAGTTGCAGAGCTGCCTGCCTCTTCACATTCCCCAGGCATCCATTTGGGGATGGAGGATAAATGGTTTCTAACTCTTCTATCAGCAGTACAGAATGGAGGTGGTTAACAAACACACCGTTCTATCTGGTTCTTCCAAGAGTTGACAGCTTTGATGTGCAATAGTTGTGATAAGAGCCTTAGAGCTGATTCCATACCTGGTATACATAGTGCCATTGTTACTATTCGTCTGTTATTCATCTATTGTACTATTTGATGGAGAGAGGGGCAGGGAGTATAGAGGACAGAATGGAACCCTTACAAGTAGCAACCAAGGTGTCTTAGATAGGTGGCTGCCTGATGCAAAATCTAGTTGTGTGTTTTGTGGACACATTGATTTATCTATGAGCTTTAAGTTTTACCCCCTACAAGATGGCTTGTTGAGTGGGATTATGTCTGAAGCTCCAGGCCACCATCTAATACTCTGGGACCCAAATCTCACAGAGAGGAAGAATACATTTCTGCATTTTTCTAGGAACTGTTGAAAAATAATAAGGAGCCCAGTGGTGTGAGTTCCAACCTTGTATTGACCTGTCACCGTGTGATTTGGGCAAATTCACTTGACCTTTTGGACATAGATTTCTTTATCATGGCAGCAAAGGAGAGAGACTAAGTCATCTCAAACTCCTAGCTCTTCACAATTTTGTGAATATGCTGGCAGATATGCTGGAGACCCTCAGATTTGACCAAAGAAATAATGAAGAAAATTAGCCTAAGTTGGCCTTAACTGGAAAGTTCCCCACCTCTTGGCCGGATGTATCCTTTGACCTGCTCTCTGGAATTCATAGTAATGAAAAGCAAACATGTAAACAAGCCCAGCGGCGTGCTTTTCGAGTTCTTGTTCTGAGTTATTGTGTTTACTGGGTTTTAAATAATTCAGTGAAGCAGACTTGGTTTTGATAACTTTATGTACCATTGAGCCACTGAATCCAGGAACCAATTTTCATGTATCCGCTGTTGAACCATCCAGCCAGCTGTCCTGCATGCCTTGTAGCAAACATAAAGGTGGCCTATGTGTAGTAGGGAAATTCTGATGCCTTTTCTAGGATGGTGGAAAACCTCTGTGTCCTTAATGTCCAAAAGTGTGGCTCCGTTCACCCTACCCATTTTCTTTCTCTTTCTTTTTTCTGAAAGTCTTCTTCAGAGATGCCTTGTAGGTGTAACTGCCTGGGTAGGAGACCGCTGAAACTGGAGTTGGTGGCCCTTCCATGTTCAGCCTTTTGCATGTCTGTCAATTTGAGATTCTTTGCCTCTTCTTCTGCAGTTGTCTGGGCTGCCAAATCCCAGTTGGTGACAACATGATGCTGATGACACAGTAGTCAGGGGCTTCCTCCTTGTGTAGGTAGTAATATTTTTGGAGAAGCCCCGTCTTGTGTGTTAGTTCAGTTCAATACAGTATTTGAGGAGTCATCTTTAATGTGAGTAGTGCCCTGTCCAATAAACTCACCTGATGAGAGAGCCATCTGGTGCGAAATATAAATTCTAAGCTTCCCCAGGGGCTTTGGGCAGGCCCTGGGTTTCTGTATCTTTATAAAATCCTTGGCTGATTTTTATCAGGCCTGTTTTAGAATCACTATATTGTGTAACGCTTGATGTCTTAAGGGCAATTTAATTATGTAGTGGGTTGGTTTTTTTTTTTTTTTTTTTTTTTTTGTCCCTGCACTAAATGTTCCAGCACTTTCTGCATTGCTAGGCTGTGTTTCCGTTTGTTGTTGGCCACACATCTATATGTTTCCCGAGGTGTGAAGTTTGTGTGTTGGGGGAAAGGTGAAACAGGCATACATGGCATTGCTAAGTGAAGGCTTAAACAGATCAAAGTTAACTTGACAAAGGCTGGGGAAAACACAGGTTGTAGAGTCACTGGGATTGTGACTGCAGGGGGACATAAAGCTAACACCCATAGGTGTGATTTGGACAAATGTCATTTGACCTCTCCAGGCTTCAGCCTCTTCATTTGTAAAAGTCAGCAAAGGAATGACAGGCTGTAGCCTG